GGCAGTAGAAGAAATATTTTGGAGCCCTCATTTCAGTGTAGGGAAAGCAGCTACTGACTCTCCTCATGAGCTTCCTCATGAGATTCCAGTCAGGAATCTCAGTGAATTACCATTTAACTCATCTTCTGGTGCTGATTAAGGGGTGACTCCATACAAATTCTAAGGTTCACTTTTACCTTTAATTAAACATTTAACTTATTTTTCATTTGCATTACATAATTAGGAAATTATATTCTACTGAAGAAATCTGGATCATATAAAGCTTCCCTCTTATTTTGTTTTTTACTAAAATATATTATTTAGTTATTTGAATTATATAGGGCCACGTTTTGGTTTGGTTTGGTTTGGTAAGTGGGACATGCATGTGTGTGTGTGTGTGCGTGTGCGTGTGTGTTAGAGACAGACATACAAACAAGGAGCTTATGTGCACACACACACCCTTGCTTTAGCCTAAGTTTAGAAGGTAAAAGAAGTAAAAAATAAACATGAACAAATGTTAACTCTCTCTAGTCATCATTATATGTTTCAAACTAGCAGCAGTTTAAAATAATGAGGACTTTCAATGTATGTAAGATTATAGTGATGTTAACAGTATATTGTTGCAACACAAATAGATAAAATATTTTTAGAAAACAATTTTGTAATAGGTCTCAATAATTATTATAAAAGATCATAGACTATGATCTAGTCATATTGTTATTTGAAATTTATGTTCTTTCCATGTAAAAGAAGAAATAAGGCACAAAAATATGACGTTTTAGCATCATTTTTAAGAGCAAAAAAATTGGCTATAACCAGTCTAATTATAGAGAAACAATAAAATCAGAGCACTAATGTTATGCAGCTGTTAAAAACTGGTTATAAACACATAAAATGTAGAAAATATTGATAATATTATAAATGTAAAAAAGGTCAGTTTTGTGGATAGAGACATGAAGAAGCTTACATAAGCATGCATGTTGGCTAGAATGGTTCTAAAAAACATTCCAACCTTGTTATATTATGATTTTTTGTACAAAAACTAAGAAAATTCAGGAGTTTTGGAAAGACAGGGTATCCAGTGGGGTGGCTGAAGTTCCTTCTGTTACAGATATTCTATGCTCCTGGTCGGCAGCCTGTGTGGAGGAAACTACTTGCTGAATGTATTCATTGTGATATTAGGTCCCAGGAAAAGGGACCAACTAGAGAGAGGGTTACTGTAAGCCAGCATGAACACTTTCTGTGTTGTCCCAGGAGACATAGTAAAATGGAGTTTAAGGGCCCAGGGTATAACACAGTGGTAAAGAACTAGACTAGTATGCATGAAGCTCTGGGTTTGATCCCTAGCACCACCAAAAAAAAAAAAAAAAAAAAAAAAGTACAATTCAAGATAAGTGATTTTTTCAGTTAGAAAACTGATTAAAACTCTATAACTGAAGCACTGTTGTGAAAGTTGGAAGGACATTTTAAAGCTTTGTCCTGGTCTTGGTAAGGGAATTTTTGGATAAGAGTAAAGTCATCTCTCAGTATACTTGAGGGATTGGTACTAGGACCCCCATGGATTCTAAAATCCATGGATACTCAAGTTCCTTATATAAAATGATACAATCTTTGTGTGTAACAAATACATATCCTCCTGTAGACTTTAAATCATCTTTAGATTATTTATAATACATAGTCCAATGTAAATGCTAAGAAAACAAATCTTATACTGTATTTACTTACGTGGTATTACTTATGGAATAAAAACAGAAATATATATGTACAGTATAGACACAATTTTAAAAAATATATTTTTGGTCTGTGGTTTCTTGAATGCATAGGAGCAGAGAGGCCTGGCTGTGTGTGTGTGTGTGTGTGTGTGTGTGTGTGTGTGTGTGTGAAGTTGTTACCTACTTTGGATACCAATTGCTAGTACCCCATTGCTTCCTTCACTGCTCAGTTGGAGGCTGGGGAGGAGTGGCAGAGATAATTTTCACAGAGGCTTCTATGAAGAAGAGAAGCCACTAGAGAACTACATAGAAGAAGAGATAGTGACATGGTTGAAGAGGCAAAGCAGGGGGTTTGGGGGCCTTGGGACAGCAGGCTCTGTGAACCAGTTCTTAGCAGCTGTTGTGACAAAGGATATTCAAAGGGACCTAAAGGATCCATCAGAGGACTGGGGCTTTGGACCTGAGGTTTGTGTCATGCACCATCGTTTGAGCGTGTGGCTCCTGCGTAGGTTGGTTAGTTATAACCACATTTCCGTGTAATGCTTGGTTCTCCTGCAGCTGATCCATCCCCTACCTCCCACATTCTTGATGAGCTCTGTGACTCAGCTGCTTCTCAGGACATCTGAGCAGCTTTTCCCACCCTGGGGATAGATCCACAGTCAGGAGATGTTGTAACGGGAATTCTTTTTCTTTTTTGGGGGGGTCCATGAGAGTTTCCCCTACCCTGTGGATCCATGCAATTGGGAATTTCCCTCAACACAAGTAGACTTTTAGAGGATGTAGAAAGAATGCCTTTTCCAAACTTCTGGTTTAAGAAAGGACAGGCATTTGTTACTCCTGTAGGCTGAAAAGGGAAGTTTGAATTCCAGCCTCAAGTTGGACACTGTGTTTCCTCACAGGGCTCAAAGCCAGCTTTATTCTTCCACTGCAGTTTGTGTGATTTTTCTTAGAGATGTCAGAGGAGTAGCAAGAATTCTGTAGCCCCTGCAAATTCTGTCTCTGGGACTGGTTTGGTATCAGGTAATTGGCCTGGTTTTCATGGTGGAGGGCTAATGATCTCCCTCCCTATATGTGCTGCTAATGTAGGTGGTGGTACTTTATGCAGGGGTATCCCCACCCCCACTCTTGCCCTCTACTTCTGCTATGCTGCTTCCTCCTCCTCAGCGGTTTTTTTTTTTTAATTTTTTTAGTTGTAAATGGACACACAATATCTTTATTTTTATGTGGTGCTAAGGATGAAACCCAGTGCCTCACACATGAGAGGCAAGAGCTTTACCACTGAGATATAGCCCCAGTCCCTCAGCTCCTCTTCCCACTTTTTATCCTTTTCTCACCTCTTCTTTTACTTCTCCTTCTACTCCCTTCCTGGCTGCATTATTGCATCTTTGCCCTGTTTCTTTGGGCTTTACTCTTTTGCTCCTCCCGTTCTCTTTCCTCCCCAGTGAGTATCCCTGGGATCTCCTGATGCCTCCACTTGACAGCTGCATCTTCTGTTCCTCTTGGGATTCTGACCTGAGCTTACCTGACCGCTGTTCACTGCGGTGTGTATCTGTGTGTGTATGTGAGTTTCTCTTGGGGCAACCTCTTGACACTGCAGGGCCCTTACAGAGGTGGCAGAGAATAGACCATAGCACTAGTTACCACCTTTAGCTTGAAATCATGAGGATGTGTCTCCCTACTCTGGGGGACTGCCCTGCTGTGGGTCTGGAAGACTAGGGCTGTCATATCTAGAGCTTGCTTCCTGACCCAGTGTCATGTCATGGAGGATAGCCTTTGCCAGCTATCTTACACCTTTGCTGGACCTTGGTGAGCCATTATGGAATTTACTGTGTTGGAGTCAGTTAGGGTTTGTTGGGTGTTACTTGTTTTTGAAAATCTGAATGTCATGTGGTGCTCTGTAGCCCTATGGGGCCCCTGTCCTGTTCTATACAGTGTGTGCATTCAGATGGGGTGTCTCTAGTTGTTGCAAGGTGCTCCTTCTTGCTGGGGAGGACAATAGAACTTCTGCCCTTTCCTTTTGCCCTCCAGAAAGGCCCATGGAAATTCTAGAGAAAAGAGAGAGAGGTTTGATGGTTGGCTCATCTCACATTACCAGAGATGGTATTCTGGAATCAGTGAAAGTACTCAGGGCTTGGGACTTTGTTCTGATTCATCATTGTTTCAATAAGTAACAGCTGGGCAGCTGCATGAGTCTGCTCAGGTGACTGTAACAAAGTGCTATAGACTGAGTGGCTTCAACAACAGAAATTTATTTTCTCACAGTTCTGGAGGCTGAAAGTCCATGCAATTGTGATAATAGGTTGGTTTCTCCTGAGGTCAGAGGGGAAGGATTTTTCCAGCCTCTGTCCTTGGCTTGTAGATGGCCATCTTTTCTCTGCATCTCATGTAGTCTTCCCTCTGTATCCAGATTTTCTCTTCTTGTAAGGATCCATCATAATGGACTAGGGCCTACCCTATGACCTTGTGTTAATTTAATGACGACTTTAAAAACTTTGTGTCCAAATATAGTCATATTGTGAGGTCCTGGGGTTAGGACTTCAAATAAATTTTGGGAGAATACAGTTTAGCCCATAACCTTAAAGTAAGGTAAGTGCTACCAGGCTAGGGCTGAGGGATATGAACTTGCCACAAGGCTCCAGAAACTCTTCCATGTTTAATCCTGAGGTGCCTTCACGGAGTGGGAGGGGCTGCTGTTCTGAATAAATTCCTGGCAGAATTTTATCCATGAATTGGAGTTTAAGTTCTTTCTGAGATAGTTTCTTCATGTATAAATGAATTATGCTCCACTGACTTCATAAGGCTTTTGTGCAGAGTTATAATAATTGCTACTATTATGAAGTGCTTAATGTGTGCCTAAGCACTTAACTTGCAGTCAAAATCTTATGTATATGTCTAGTATGTGCAAGGCCTTGGGTTCAATCCCCAGCACTACCAAAAAAAAAAAAAAATGTGGCCTCACAATTAATAAGTGTCCAGAACTGGAATTTGAACCTGGCCCCAGATCTATAGTCTAAGCTTGTATCCTTCTGTATATGTAAAGTGCCTGATGCTGACTATGCTTGGCAAAGTTAGTTGCCTTGGGAAAGTTAGTTGAATACATGTTAGTGGATTCTGATAACTCTTCATTGAGTTGGTAGAAGTTTCCACTGGGGTCTGGTTAGGGTGGGACACTTCGTAACCTAGGGAAGGAAGGTGATGAACGGGTGTCCCAACCTAGCCTCTTGCAGAAGTGAGTCAAGCCAGGGAGAGGTGAGGTTCCCACAGGTCCTSCTTCACCCTCTTCACCAGCACCTCCCTCCTGCCATGCAGGGTGATGTGAGCAGMGCCCAGGAATGCCTTATGTGGATCGGCAGAACCGAATCTGTGGGTTTCTGGACATCGAGGAGAATGAGAACAGCGGCAAGTTCCTGCGGAGGTACTTTATTCTGGACACCCAGGCCAACTGCCTTCTGTGGTACATGGACAACCCCCAGGTGAGAGGCTAAGTGGAAAAAGGGCAGGGCAGCTGGCTGCCCATCACTGCCTGGGAGGAATGCAAGTGGGATTAGAACTTCATCTCATGGCAACATAAACCTGCTGGTCAGTAAGAAGGGAGAAGCCTTCTGCCACACAGGCACACAACATACATACACAGACAGACAGACAGGCACACACACACAAATTCAAGGGCTGGGGTTGTAGCTGAGTGGTAGAGCATGTTGTTGGCACAAAGTCTTGGGTTCAGTGGCTCACATTAAAAAAACCCAAAACAAACAAAACCCTCTCAGATCTTAGCCTGGGGAGAAAGAAGCTCTGCTGAACCTAGAACTGTTGCCTTTTCTCATGCACCAAGAATTTAACACTTGCAAAAGTCAGGCAGAGGCCGGCCAGGCTGGCTCCAGGCTCCCAGGACTGCCGTGTTTCCTCTTACCCTCTTGTAAGGGATGTGGCTTGGTGGCTACTCCTGCTCTTCCAGTCTGGGGCCCCTCCCTAGCAGAGAATGTGACCTGGTTCCCTGAGGTGGACAAATGTTGGGCTTTAATGGTCTCCTGAATCAGGAAGTCCATAGAGTCCTGGGTTGGAAGTGACCTTGGAGTTCACCTATTTTGCTTCCTCACACTACAGATGAGAACACTGAGTCGCAGGCTTTGTAATTGATCTGGGAAAGGGCACAGTCAGTGTCCTTAGCATTTTGTGACAGGCACAAAGATGGGGGCCACCTAATTTTTATTGCAATGCCTGCAGTCATCCCTGATTTAGAAAAAAAGTGTACTTTGAGAACTTAAGTTTTTGTTTTTTTCTTTCTGGCGTGGAGTGCTACTAACTCTTTCCTTCCCACTGCCCTGGAGCAGTTTGGTGGAATGAGGCTGTAAGGACTTGACATGGCTTCTGAACAGCGAGATCATGGGTCATGGCTATGTGGGGAGGGAGGAGGATGTGGGGGTTGGGATTTGGCTCTGTTCAGAGGCTTAGAAAAAGGAAGATCTGAGTATTGGGGGATAGATTTTTGCTTTAAGATGTGATGTGGAAAAAGAGTCATGTGAATCTTTGTAAGTCATTATCCAGGGTTCAGTCCTCTAGAGACCTTTGGCATTTGTCCTCTGGATTTGATGGCTGAGCAAAAATGTTATAGATACAGAAACCATATGCAGAAAGCTGCTGTGAATTGCCGTTTCCAGGAAGACTTAAAGCTGTGCTCCACATTTCACCCCACATCTCTGAAAACCCTGACACTTACTTTTTTTTTTCTTTATTGATTTAATTTTTTGCAGTTCTTGAAGGTTGAACCCAGGGCCTTGCACATGCTAGGCAAGTGGTCTATCACTGAGCCCTACTCCAGCTTTATCACTTATTCTCACTTGAGCATTCAGTTTTGGGGGTTCACTTTGGGTCCTGCATATGGACGTTGTTACACCCTCTGCTTGTCTTGTTATGTTTTGGTCCTGGTTTACCTTCAGACGCTGCTACATCATTTTCCATCTTTACTCTGTGCAGGTCCCCACATCTGGGTCCACAGAATCATTGTAAAAGGAAATGCTAATGTACTCTTCCCGCTGGAGGGGTTTGGAATTAATTCTTTGTTGCCAATTGTCTGAGCTTCTGCCACACTAAGGTAGAGTCCTGGGGGACTTAGGATCCCTGGATCTTATTTCCTCTTTGCTTTCCCCACTTGATGTACCTTTTCCTACTCACTTGCCATGTTAGCCYATTTGAGGTTATTTGAAGGTTATTTTGAAAATCTTTTCCTCTTGATTTACCTGCTTCATGCCTTCTTCCTTACTAGCACTGTCCTGAACCCAAATGTACTTGCTGAGGTCATCCTGCCCAGCTGCTGCTTACTGCCTCTCCTTGAGAGTTAGACCTTCCTTCAGTCCCTGGCTRTTAGTAAGAGATTACCCCAGGACCATAATATCGCTATCTTGGATCTTGAATATTGCCAACTGTTAGGATTTTTCTCACTGTGACCTACCTTTTGATGTTATTGTTACTTGGGCCCAGAACCTGCACTGACCTTGGATATTGTGCCTCCYGGGCTCTGTGGGATCATCTTCTGTAGCAGTTCCTATGATGTTCAGGGCAGTCTGTTTTTCTTCCCTGCCAACTGAGTTCTCAGGATGCTTTCTGTGTTAGAAACTTCTTTGAGTTTAAATTACCAAATAGAACTTGTGGCCCTATGCTGAGGATTCTTTTAGATTTTCCTAGCTGAGTTGGCATATGCCTAAAAAGAAATACATAGTGGAAATTTAGAACATTTTACTTCTTCTCTTGTCGGGTTAGTTGTTTTTGTTTATAGCCAAGCAAGGGCTCCAGATTTGAGGATGCATGTTTTGGTAAATTGTAAAATGGTATTAGCAAACATTTATTCCTTTATGACAAGCACAATTCATTGGGTTTTCATTTCATTCTGACAGCAAGTCTCACGGGTAGATGTTGTCCTCATTCTAAAATTAAGGAAGGTGAGCAGAGAAGGGAAGAAGTTTGCCCATGGCTATATGATAAGAAAGTGGCGGAGCCAGGATTCTAAGCCTGAAGATGTGACTCCAGTGCCATGGCCATGATTGCTAATAATGAGACAGTCATTTGGAGTCCTCAGAAGAAAAAAAGCCTTCAATGGTAGTCTCTGATCAAGAAAGAGAAGCTGGAGGATCTCAGACCTAGAGGGCAGAGAGCTTGTCACGTTTAGCTTTTGATGCAGAGCATCCAGCTTTGATAAATGTATTCTCAATAAATGAACGAATGAGCAAATTAAAGAGGGCCGGGGAAAGAGACTGTCAGAAGGCAGGTCCTTAGGAAGTCTGGCATGGTATTACTGCCCTCCTGGGATTAAAGACAGGGCCCAACTAGATGGAAGTTGTGCAGCATGGGGCACCCTGGGGATGTGGGGAGAGGTATTGAGAACTATGTTTGGTCTTTGAACATCTTTTATAGGGAAAAGGAGACCCTGATGTGGTTGGTATCCTCATCCTTGGACAGGCATTAATAAGCAGAGATTCTCTGAACCCAGGTCTCCAATCTTTACCTGGTAGTTGGTGTTCACTCCGTCTGTCTCTACAGCTATTGACTGTATTGCTGTTAATTACTAACTGCAGTTTACTTACTGAGTGGTTATCATATACCAGTCATTGTGTGAAATGCTTTGTATGTGTTATCTCATGAAATCCTCTGATAATCTCAGGCCCTTGGGATTATTATCCCTCCTTGTTCACAGTCACATAGGTGGTTAAGTGCAGAGCCAGGGTTGGAGCCACATTTGTCACTTTCTTCCTTTTTATGATATTTGTGCTCAGTCCTGTAGATGATGTGGAAGGTGAATTCAACTTCAGGTTTAGTCAGGGAGATGAGAACAGAACACACAAAGCTATATATCTCTAATAATTGTAATGCATCATTGTAACAAGAGAGGGTATCATCTGTTGCTGATGCCAATACCCACAGGCCAACATTTTATTTCTATCAAGAGATAAGGTCTGGGGCTGGGGTTGTGGCTCAGTGGCAGAGCACTTGCCTAGCACATATGAGGTCCTGGGTTTGATCCTTAGCACCACGTAAAAATAAATAAGCAAAGATATTGTGTCCATGTATAACTAAAAAAACATTTAAAAGAAAAAAAAAGATACGGTCTTGGGCTGGGATTGTAGCTCAGTGGTTGAGCACTTGCCTTGCATGCATGAGGTACTGGGTTCGATCCTCAGCATCACATTGAATGAATGAATGAATGAATGAATGAATAAAACAAAGATATTATGTCCATCTACAACTAAAAAAAAATGTGTTGTTTTGTTTTTAAAAAGAGATAAGGTCTTGCTGGGTTACCCGGGCTGGCCTTGAACTTCTGGGTTCCAGTGGTCTCCTGCCTCGGGAGTAGCTGTGATGTAGGTGGCATCAAGATGTCAATATTTGATTCAGGAGCAAGAAATTTTCTTTTCTTTTAGGATTTTCTTTTGCTGCTGCCTGTGAGAGGAAGATGTAGGGCCTGAAGGTGGAGCCTCACATGGAAATTTCTCAGGCTTGAGAGACAAGAGATCCAGGCTGTAGCCTTGGCTCCTCCACTCAGTTGATCTGTGTCTTAGGAAGTCATTTCTCTTCCAGACTATACACAGTCTAGATAATCCTTAATATGACTTTTAACCCTTCATTTCCTGCAGGCCAGAGAGTCAGAGATCCTGGAGCTTAACAACATTACCTAACACATATTTACTAAACTTGTCTAATGTGTCAGACACCAGTCTAGATGCTGGGGCCACAGCAGTGTGCAAGACAGTCTCTGGCTTCATGGAGCTTACAGTGCAGGTGGGGAGGTAGACGATGAAGCACAATTGGGGTAGGGAGAATTGTGGGTTACCCCTTCAAGGAGGAGGTGACACACTAGAGCCAGATCTTGAAGGATGGGTGAGATTAGAGTGATTATTACTTTATATTGTTCACATTTGTAGAGCATTTTTGCAGGTTTTGAAATGTTTTCCTGTACAGGGTCTCATTTGATTGCTGTCCCCACTRTGTCCTAAGCACAGAGGAGGAGGAAGAGGAGGGAAACAACAGTTGTTATGGGGGCAGAGGAGGGCACCTGGATTTCCCAGGTTAGAGGGGTGCTTAAGGTTGAGTTCCCCAGAAGAAGCCCCTGTTATGAGGTGTTTTAGTCAGCTTTTCTTGCTGCTATGACTAAAGGACCCGACCAGTACAACTGTAGAAGAGGAAGAGATTATATGTGGGCTCACAGTTTCAGAGGTCTCAATCTGTAGACAGCCGYTTGCATTCCTCGGGGCTCCAGATGAGACAGGAATAACATGGTGGAAGAGTGTGGCAGATGGAAGCACCTTGTGTGGTGATCAGGAAGCAGAGAGAAWCTCCATTCTTCAGATACAAAATATATACCCCAAGGCCTCAATTCCCACATCCTCCAGCCACACCCTTCCACCTCAATTCCCACTCAATTAATCTGATCAGGGATTTGTACACTGATTAGGTTAAGGTTATAACCCCATCATTTTTCCTC